GGAAAAAAGCATTCCATCAATGGACAACATAGAAAAGACAAATATTAGATGTAAGGAAATATCTGCTTGCGTTCATGGAAGCCAGGAAGGAAGAAAGAAGGTTTCCATAAAAGTGGTTAAATCTTAACAGCCCTTGACTTACATTCTGTCCAAACAGTGCTAAATATTTTTAAAAGCATGTTGGTGGATGCTTCACTGATATTAATGATTGAGAAAACATGTGTCATTAATCTTATATATTAATTATAGCTTGTGAAAACTGCATTTTTAGAGTACACCTTCCAGAATCTCCCAACAATCATGACCCCTGAATACATTGTCTTTGGGATGTGGACACCTGTAGTTCAAACTACAGGTCCCCAAATCTCACAGTTTTTCCTACGTGTACTAATACAATTAGGAAATTATTAGTAAAAGTACAATTTCACCTACTTCTACTAATAAAAATAAACTTATTATCAGAACAATGAGTCTCATATAAATAGCATGGTGTCTTCTAAGTATGTATGGATGGCGTCAGTACTGGTTGTGTCACCAATGCTCAGACCCAGAAAACCCTGTGGTTAGTTCACTTTAGAGCAGTGTTTCTCAAACTCTGCTCCTCCAGATGTTTTAGACTTCACCTCCCACAATTCCCAACAGCTAGTAAATTGGGTGGAATTTCTGGGAGCCAAAGTCCAAAACATCTGGAGGAGCAGAGTTTAAGAAATACTGCCTTAGAGTCACCATAAGTCAGAAATGACTTGAAGGCACAAAACAACAATCAGCATCTGTGGCTGACATAAAGTGATAAATCTCACATAATTTTCTGGCAGATTGCCTACATAAACCTCTCATTAAAGAAGCTGGAAAATATAAAGGTGGATGCAAATCACAGTTGTGATTATAAAAATGTAGAGCTGAAGCCGATAAATTGGAAATATTATTTTTTGGACTACAAAAATTGTCCAGACAGCATGGGATTACATGCACATATGTCTTGGTTTGGATGTTGCATAAGGAGGTCTTTGCCAGTTCCTTGTATAACATCCAAACTTTTCTCTCCAGAGTGGCTGCCAAGCCATGATGTCGTCAGCGTTCAAGTTGTTTCCAACCTACAGCAACTCGAAGACAAACACAATGTTTTCTTGGCAAGATTAATTCAGTAGGACTTGCCTTTGCCTTTCTTTGTGGCTGAGAGTGTGTGACTTGTTCAAGATCACCCAATGGGTATCTGTGGCTGAGAAGGGGCTCCAACCCTGATCTGCAGAGTCATACTCCAATGCCCAAATGTGTGTGCTGCATGTGTGTTGGAGCAATTTTTATTGCTGGTAGAGAATAAAAGAAATGGCATTGCTCTCCCAGATTTCCAGGACAACCACCTTAGGCCTCTTCACATTATGCAAATATGACACTGTAATTCCATAAGGAGGGGGATCTACAGCTTTCCCTATAGAGTAAAAAAAAAGCAAACTGCAGCAGTGTCTCTTACGTTGTGTCCTCTTCCTCCTTAGTGAGTTTTTCCTATGTGCTGATGTTGCTTGGCTAAACACTGCTGATGATACTTGGCCAAATAGTGCTCCAGTTCCCATCTGTGAAATGAAATGGGAATAGAATGGTACTAATAAGGTGGATTGTCTCACTTGGCATCCAAAGAAAACAGGAGAGTAAAACAAATGGAATCATACCTTAGTCTAACTGCAAAATCTAGTGGTTTTATCAGTAGTACTATAAACATTAAACTGAACACCTTTTAAAGTTTTCAACTGCTCTGGTTGGTTGATTTGTGACGTTCTTTCAGTATGTCTTTTGCGGATAGCTCGCTAATCCTATAAATCTTTATTGTTCATGTGCTAAGACATTTTCCAGAAATCAAACTGTAAAAGCAAAGATTAAAACTGTAAAGGCAACTATTACATTTATTTCTTTTCATGCAATGTGACACAAGTCAATGTTCTTGATGGATCCCTGCCATGGCACATTATTTCCCTTAGGTAACATTGGAAAGGATTCCAGAGTGATTGTTAGGGCAAGGGGAAATGTTCTCATTTTGGCCCTCCATAGCTACCCCTCCATGGGATGTTTTTTATCTCCCACATCCCATAGAAAAAACTCTGGCTATATAGCAACAATAACATGAACTGGTTTGGAAGACTTTCCCCACAGTCCCCACTATTGATCTTGCTGGTAATATTTCATGCAATATTCCATACAGTTGGTTTCTGTGGTGTCTTGCTGTGTGCATACCATTGCAGAGGCATCCAAAGAAACATGTCCTTTCCCAGGATATTGGGATGTGTCCCACATTAGATACTTCACTTGCCCTCTGCATCAAGGCCTTTTGTCGAAATTTGCTTGGTGGAACTGCACTCCACGAAAATATAACAGAAGTATCCATTTCCTTTTCCATTGTTTTGTTGCCATAAATAGGGAGTGAGGACTTCTTCCTGTGCTAACATATAAAGCACACAACTTAGGCTATTTTACTTTACAATAGGATCTGACTCAACGTGTTACAGTATAGAGTGCTCTTATTTAGAATTTCAGCCAGACAGCAAGCCTTGACCATTTCAGAAACAGTATATTTGTGTTCCATTTCCCTTTCCAGAAAGGACAAAAAAAAGAACTAAACTATGGTCATAGTTCCATAGGTCTAAAACAAATTACTTACCATTATAGGGACCCCTTGGTATCCACTGGGGATTGGCCCCATATCACCAGCCCCCTATAATGGGACTTGAGTAATCCCTGAATACTCAGGTCCCATTATATACAATCGGGTAATAAAAGGGGATCTTTTATATAAAATGGCAAATTATTCAAAGGTTTTTTGTTTTTTTGAAATTAAAAATGCAGTATATTTGATCCATGGTTAGTTGACTTCATTGATACAGAATCCGTAGATATGAGAGATTTTTTTTTTTTTCAAAATTTCAAGGCAACCCCCTCTCTCTCTCCCTGACTCAAATTCCTTCCTCACCCGCTGAGAAGTGTCATGGTGTGATTGCTTCCCTGCAATCCCCACAACTTGGCAACATAAGGCACATTTCCTATGTTGCTCCAACACTGTGTGTGGCAACTGGAGTGTGTAACGGTATCATCCGTTTATCCTTCTGTTTAATGTCTTCATTCGCAAAGGCATGGAATTGCAAATTGCTGTAAATGTTTGTGTATCTGAATAAATTGTTTACTGATGAAATGCAAACAAACAGAAAACTCCTGTTGCAAATCAAGGAATTGATTATTGAATTGATTATTGACCCATAAGAGAATACTGCTTTTCCCCATGAAATTTCTCTTCAGTATCCTCCATTTTTTTCTATCCAGTCATTCAAAAAGGCCAGAAGCAGAGCCATGGCAGAGATAATAGAGGGGCACAGTGTTTCCCCAGGGTGTACTAAGCTGTTGTCTTTCGCTGCTCCACGCAGAGAAAGAAGTAGTTCCTTTTTTGATAATAGTCACACTGCAATACAATGACTCATGGATAAGTTGACCAAGGATTTTAGGGTTGATTTTTTGTGCAATGTTTCTAAGCATATACATAAGGATATAAGGTATCTGCTTTGCCCATAGAGTAAGTATATAAGACGTAGCTTAAAAGAGGCCCACAATGTTGTGAATTCACTGTGAACATTGAGATCTCTTTTTGGTAGATGTGGGTGTGTTATATAACAGCAAATGGAAAATTGCTCTACTGCAGCCACACAGCTGGCTCTTCAGTTGATGCAGCTGCTGCCATTTCCATCTCCTCTGACATCCCCTCCAATATCTCACAGAGGAAAACTGGTATGACCAAGCAATAATGTGTATTCTCAAAATGATGAAAACAGGCAACAAAAGAATAGGAATTATTTATGAGGAAAGGACACAAAACTTGTAATTTTATACTATCCAACTTTCTCAATTTGCCAGAGATATTTGCAGTCAACGTTTGCCATTCCAGTTTTCTAGCTGCTTTTTAAACGTCCCTGTTTTTCTCTACTACTATAGCTGGTCCTCCACATTAGCTGTAGGTAGGGTGCAGGATGCCCATAAAATGGTGAATAAACACTATTTTTTTTTTACTTGAGAGAACTCCTTCCTCTCTAGGTCTTCCAGTACAACTCTGTAGTCAACCTCTGCCAGAAGCTGAGCATAGAATTATACTCGATACTACAAAGTCCTAGAGAGGTGTTTTCTCTAAGAATCTTTAAGATTTCCAGCACAGCACTATAATCAACTTCCATGGGAAGTCTGGATCACACCAATACATTGTTTTGCCAGAGCAAGGGGCCATGTCTGAAGGCCAAAATAAAGTGGACTCAGCCACATATTGCATGGCTGGATTTTCAGCAGAACCATTGCATCCAGTCATTAGAGCAGGTCAGTGGAACATGGAGTTTGTTCTAGAGCTTCTAGGTGTAGATTGAGGCCCTGCTCTCAATCCCGCCTTCCTCACAGATGCACTTGGCGTGGATGAGAGACAAGGCCTTCTCAGTGGTGGCCCCTTGGCTGTGGAATGTGCTTCCCAGGGATATAAGATTGGCCCCTCCCTTCTGACGTTATAGAAAAAGGTTAAGACCTGGCTCTTCGAGCAAGCTTTCACTAATGTAGCATAATTAGGCAAAAATGAAAATATGGAACAACTGACGATGCAATTAGACACTGATTTTAGTCAGGAGACGCTGATGATTTTGTTTTTACAGGCTGTATTGTTTTTATATCACATTTTAAATGTTTTAAATTTTTTATAATTGTTTTAACTGTATTATTACAATTGCTAAGGCATCGAATTGCTGCCGACTCTGAACCACTTTGCATGTAAAGTGATATTCTGAAATAATCTGAAATGTGGAATACTTCTAGTCCCAAGCATTTCAGATAATGAATACTCTGTCACCTATCTGTGTAGTTTGCCTTTTTCTTTGCTTCCTGTTAATTCTTCTTTTCACAAACTGGTGTCTGATGCTTGATTTACATTGTGTATTTAACTTCTATAAATGTGGTCTAAATCCCATTCCTTTTTTAAAATTATTTTCCAGCTCTGAAATGACTTCAATCATGGCTGAAAATGATACAACCCTTTACAGTGTTACATCCAGCTGGAAATCTGGGACGGATCAATCCATTTTACTCAACAAGACAAGCAACAGCACCTTGTGCCCCTGGCCAAAAGAATGGCAGTGGTTATTAGATATCCAACCAGTGTTCCTATGGATTCTTGCAGTTGTAGGAATAGCTGAGAACTTGTTTGTCCTCAGCGTTTTGTGTTTCCACAAGAGCCGTTGCACAGTGGCTGAAATTTACTTAGCAAACTTAGCTGCAGCTGACCTTCTGTTACTCTGTGGTTTACCTTTCTGGGCCATCAATATAACCAATAATTTTGAGTGGCCATTTGGGCTCCCTCTTTGTAAAGCCATCAATACCATCCTGTACATGAACGTGTACTCAAGCATTTACTTCTTGGTGATGGTGAGCATTGATCGCTACCTGGCATTAGTAAAAACTATGTCTCTGGGGCGTATGCGTCGAGCTTGGTGTGCTAAATTGAACTGCTCCATCATTTGGGTCTCTGCACTGTTCCTATCTTCTCCTGCTCTGATATTCAGGACCATAAAATATGTGCCTCAATATAATGTCACAGCCTGCATGCTAGTGTACCCATCCACAGATGAGTGGGTAATGATTACAAACACTTTGCTTAACACCGTAGGATTTCTGATGCCCCTCTGCATCATCGCCTACTGTACAGTTCGGATTATCCAAGCTTTGCAAAAAAATGACTTTCCAAAGATCAAAGCCATTCAGACTGAGAAAAAAGCCACCGTCCTGATCCTTTCAGTCCTTTTTCTATTTATTATCTGCTGGATCCCTTTCCAGATCACCACATTCTTGGAGACGTTACAACAAATCAAGCTATTTTCAGGCTGTGACTATGAACAAGCCATTGATGTGGCAACACAGATTGCCACTTACTGCAGTTTCAGCAACAGCTGTCTTAACCCAATAGTGTACGTCATTGTGGGAAAACATTTCCGAAAAAAATCCAAAGAACTCTACTGTGGCACGTACCATAGGAGACCCAGCGCAGCACCATCTGTCCAGCTAACGACTGTCATGGAAACTCTTCGGATGTCCTTTTCAGTGGAAAATCACAGGAAAAAATCTGCTGTTCACTTGCCATGATGACACAGTTTGGACAGTTCTGTTGGAACAGGCAAAGCATTACATGTAGCGGTGTATCTTGAAAAAAGTGGACTCAGGCATTGCTGCTAAAATTTGAGAGAATCTCACATGTTAGCATTATCTAAGAGTGGGCGAAAAGTAGATCTGGATTGACTGGCTAATCAGTGATTTGCTGCCAGCATAGAAATAGGAGTCACATGATGTGAAATATTTGTTGCTGGTCCACTTCCTCCTCACAATGAAGCTGTTTCCAGCTATTGATTGGCAAATCCTATCAATATCCCCTGATTGTGCCACAATCCCGGGACCTATGTGGTGCAATGAGGTTCAGGTGCTTCTGCAGTGGCATGCTGGTAACATCGGGATTGCCTGCTTCCCTTGCTTTAAAAAGGGACTTATTTTTTGTAATTCTTGACACTATAATTTGTGTAATTGCAAAGTGTTTTTTTAAAAAAAAAAAAAAAAAGCAAAAACATCACGGTGGGAGGGAAGAATTAGTCTGCCTGCTCAAAAGTATGATCTTGCACTGCTGAGGCATCGCAGCTGCACAACACCAGCAGTAGTATGAAGAGAAGTAGCTACTATCCCCAGTCACGGGAACAACATGGAATAGTGGTTTCATATAATTGTCTCCCCTTTGGCAAATTCCAGCTTTTATCAAGTGCAGAATCAGATTGATAATCTGAAAATAATACTGCTGAAATAAAAAAGAGTTTGCAGTTTTCCGAATGGACATTTGTCTGAAGAGACTGCAAGTTCTCCCCTGTTCTGGTACTCAAAATCAAGTCTTGGACTCTGAAAGCTAAATGTATGCCTTTTGTACTAGGTGCAGATTTATAGTAAAACAACAACAACACAAATTTAATCCAGTAAACCTGAGGCCACCTTATCCTTAATATGGACCACCTGCTCCAGCCAACACATTGATGTGTATCTTCTTTCCATGGCTGAAGCTTACTACATATGCTCTTATACATTTTTCAAATGCTGGTTTTTAATCCAGTCTCATTTCTTCTTTTATTTAGCACCTACCTAACCTCTACAAAACTTCAGTATACCGTAATGTGTTTGGCTACGTAATGTGCAAAAGAAATATGTCTATTGATATTTGTACAAACAAAAACATGTGTGACTGATATTTCATAGCATACTGTATAATTAATAGCTTTGCGTGTTTCTTGTTAGATCTCTCTTTGTCCTGCATAAAGCCCCAGAAGTATCTGAAGGAATGGCTGAGATAGCCTGCCATAATGTAGCCCTGAGCCTTTTTCTATGATGTATCCCCATCTTTGTTCCTCTGCAGTCTTTGCTTAGGGCAAAAATGAGGGATTAATAACACCTCCCTCAGGCTAATATAGCCATGGTTGAGAAATGCTGGGTTTTGGTCCAATAACATCTTGATGAACCACAAGATTTCTATCTCCAAACTTATTTTTGTGTGCCTTCAGATTGTTCCCAACTTACAGCAACCCTAAGGCAGTAAGTATGGGGTTTTATTGCCATCTGAGCGCAAAAGCAGGCATGAACTCTATTCAGAAAGTTAAACACATATAGGTAGGCTTTAAGTGTACAATATTGTTCCTATATTATTCCTTCTACACAAATGGTTCACCTTCTTTTTCAGCTTTGCTGACAGAAAAGAGCCTTGTACAGAACATATAGATTTGATACCATGACTTGGGAATCCATTGACCACAAAATATTGATGATCTCCTAATACCATTTTCCATCAGCACTGGCCAGGTTGGCTAGCACTTATGAGATGTTAGGTCCAAGAAGAGCTGGAGGGCCTCAGAGTCCCTAGTCTTGCTTTATATCAGTGGTTCTCAATCTGTGGATCCCCAGGTGTTTTGGCCTACAACTCCCAGAAATCCCACCCAGTTTACCAGCTGTTAGGATTTCTGGGAGCTGAAGGCCAAAACATCTAAGGACCCACAGGTTGAGCACCACTGCTTTATATGAAGATGGAGGGAAGGAGAAATATGTCAAGATGGAAGAGCATACCATATCATCTTGCCTGCTAAGCAAAATATTGTGTTGATTTCAAAATAAGAACAGTTGTATCTCTAAAACAAGTATGCATACAATGTTAAATATAAAAACACTTGTTGTGTTGTATTGTAAAATATGTTTTCTATAAAATAAAATTCTTCAAGAATTTGATACCAAGTCTTTGTTTTATTTCCAGATAGGATTGGGTGAAAGTACATTGTTGCAGAGAGAGAGCACACAAGCAGGGTAACTATGGAAGAAAAACTCCTATCCGTGTTTTCCATCAGCTAACCAGATCCTTGACACAGAGATATCAGTATAATGTCTCTCTTCCAATAAATTATTTTGCTATTGTCCATATTCCATCCACATCAGACTCTTCTGGGAGACATAGAATGGCCCTCTCGGCTTTAGGCTTTACACCTTGGGTGACTTTCTTGAAGTTCAGAATGAATTCCAAACTTTCTATCTTACTCACACAAAAGTTGAAAAAATGACCATGGGTGTGCTTATATTTTCTTTTTGCCCCAGAATCAAATAACTGCAACTGAGAAGTACTTATTTTTTAAAAAGTTAAATATGACTTATATACATACACATATAGGTTTATTAACTTTTCACAAAGCTTATTTCCACCAAAGGTTGGAAAGCACAACAGACAGACATATCCACAGAGTTTTCAGGCAACATTCTTGCAGGCCAATGTACAGATGGGAGCTGCAATAGGCGGAGGCCGCAATTGCATTTGGCCAAGGAGGGCCCTTTGCAGATGAAGCCCTGGGCACATTTGAAGCATCCCACCAGACACCAGGAACAGCAGCTTTCCATGCATGATTTGCACTTGAACTTTTTGCACTGGCAGTTGCTGCTGCACGTATAAGCACCACTGCTGACACAGGTACACTCTTGAAGATCCATCCTTTTGTCGGGTTTGGCTGTGCTGCTCTGAATGTGAAGGTCAGGTGCAATTTCCAAGAAGTCCTTGTATGTTCCCATAAACTAGGAGTGAAGATACTATCATGATTCTGAATCTTTCTAATATCAGGGATCGCAAGGCAAAGTCATGAGTTTGAAAGGAAGGAGAAAAGGTGTGGAAAAAGAACAGTCTAAAGAGAAACAGGGAGGAAGGGACAGTATTGTAGCAAAACTTTTATTCCCAAATTTTATCTCAGGTAATACGTGCATATAGAATTACAGTTTACACAATGTTTTTCATGATCAGACTGATGCCTGCTAGCCAAACTGGACAGAAAGCAGCAGCCATACAGAATGTGAAATCATCTGAATTATGTTTAAAAATGGTGGATGGAGGCCCTGCATCAAAGAAGGTTTTAATCCAATGTTTCCTCCCTTTGTCCACCATTAGGCTATTGTATAAGTTATATGGTGAGAAATACTTTTCATGATTCACCTTCTCCTTTTTGAAAAAAAACTTTAGACAGGGCTAAAAAAAAATAGCATGACTTGTATGCGGCCAATGTTCACGACCAGAAAGATGTCTCCAAAGAGACAGGTTGTTTTCATATAAATGTCTTTAAAGATGACTGTGGAGCAACAGCGTCAGGAAGAGGCTGGAGAGACGCATGGCGAAGATTTCATGTTCAGCTGGTCTTACCTTCCTTGAGTCATTAAGGCTGGGTCCACACCTGCAAAATAACACATTATTACCTTGACCCTGCATTATTGAAACATTGTGTCATTCTGTATTCCAGACTGGGTTCTCTCTCTCTCTCTCTCTCTCTTTTTTTTTTTGTTTTAACCTGAAACCACAGATACAACCAAATGCCTTCCGGTCCCAATACTATAAAGTTGCAAATCATTAGATTGTCAAAAGGATCTAGCAGATTCCTAGAGATACTATTTTCTCCCAAATGCAGGTAAATAAAACCACTGATATGTATTCCACAGCAATGGGTGACTTACTGTAGTCCTAAATTGAACGGTGCTGTTATTCTAGCTCGGCACTTTAATTTACCAGTTCACTTATAATCATATGTTACAACAATTTTTATCAATGTTGAACGGTGCTGCTAAATCTCAATCCTAGCACTTTAGCTGCCAGCACTTTAGCTCATTTGCACTGAAGTGGTCCTTTTAACCTGCCTCACCTCAGCACTTTTTCTCCCTCCATGACGCACTTTATGTAGACACGTCAGAATCAAGTGTTACGCCTATAGCACTTTAACAAGGGTTATGCCTATTGCACTTTAACAACTTTTTATATCTGTGTATGCCTATTGTATTTTAACAACAAGTGTTATGCCTATAGCACTTTAACAACTTTTTATTATCAATATAGTTGATATAACTTTGTGTGCACTTTAAGAACGAGGGATAAGCGGACTGACAGTGTTTTATTGTGAATTTTCTACACTCCCACCCATGCTACTATCCATTCCCTGGTATTGGTATCTGTCAACCCTTCTTGTAATCAGTGGTAGTATAGGTAAGGAATGGAGTGGACTGAGGAGTCCCGGAAGTAATATAGCATGGGATGAAGCTATGAATGTAGACTGCGTCATGGAGGAGGGAGGGTGTTCCAGTGGCCGGGGAGCCCCCATAGAAGTCGTGGTGGGGAGGGGGAGATACGGGAAAGGGAGACCTTTAATTCGGCCTAGGGAACGTGGATCAACATTAGTAATTCCAAAGCGGTCTCCTGATGTGGGAAGTTGGTGTAACCAGGAAGGCGGTCCCTCCGGGTTGAAGGTGGTGCTGTTGAACGCCAGATCTGTCAATGGTAAAACAGCTTTCATCCAGGATTTGATCCTGGATGAACGGGCAGATCTGGCGTGCATCACAGAGACCTGGCTGGATGAAGCTGGAGGAGTGAATTTGACCCAGCTTTGTCCACCAGGTTTCTCTGTGCAGCACCAACCGAGATCCGGAGGGCGGGGAGGCGGGGTTGCAGTGGTCTATAGAGATTCCATTCGTCTGACCAGGGGCCCCATCCCGCAGTCAACAAAATTTGAATGCGTCCACCTGAGGGTGGGTGACCGGGACAGTTTAGGGATTCTGTTAGTGTACCGTCCACCTCGCTGCACTACAGACTCCCTGACTGAGCTAGCGGGGGTGGTCTCGGACCTGGCATTGGAGTCCCAACGGCTACTTGTGCTGGGGGACTTCAACGTCCACGCCGAGGCCATCTTATCGGGAGTGGCTCAGGACTTCATGTCTGCCATGGCAACCATGGGGCTGTCCCAACAGGTATCTGGCCCCACCCACAGTGCTGGACATACACTGGACTTGGTTTTCTGTCAGGGATGGGAGGAAGGTGGCGGTGTTGAGGAGTTATCCATCTCTCCGTTGCCATGGACCGACCACCACCTGGTCAGCTTTAGACTCACTGCACCCCCTAACCTCCGCAGAGGTGGAGGACCCATTAAGTTGGTCCGCCCCAGGAGGCTTATGGATCCGGATGGATTCCTGACAGTTCTTGTACAGGGAGCGGTCATCCCTCCTGTTCAAGGAGCTCCACTGGCTGCCATTCATTTACCGGACCCAATTCAAGGTGCAGGTTCTCACCTACAAAGCCCTGAACAGTTTGGGTCCCGCCTACCTGCGTGACCACATCTCTGTATACAAACCCACACGATCCCTTCGATCTTCCGGAGAGGCCCTGCTCACAATCCCACCAGCATTGCAGGCGCGATTGGTGGGACGAGAGACAGCGCCTTCTCGGTGGTGGCCCCTCAACTCTGGAACTCTCTCCCTAAAGACATCAGACAGGCCCCAACCTTGGCAGTCTTTAGGAGGAGCTTGAAGACGTGGTTGTTCCAGTGTGCCTTCCCAGAATAATGGCCAGACAGCCTGAAAAACCTCCAATGACCCAGTGATTCCGGCTGTGAAAGCCTTCAACAATGCAATGTACCAAATGTTTGCATGGGAAAGAAGGAAAGGCCAGTACACGGTGAAAGGATGCAAGCTCACCTTGGGTATGTTTTCCCCTTCCTTCCTTCCTTCCTTCCTTCCTTTTTTCTTTCTCCTTCCTTCCTTCCCTCCTTCCCAAAGAGTTCTCCTTTCCCTTGCCAAGTGCTGAATGAGTCAAAACATTTGCTTCCTTTGCCCAAATGCAGGGTTTTTTGGCTGAGCCACCTCTTAGGACAAGTTCCAGCTGTTTAGCACAGCAGAATGCAGATTTGGAGCAAACAGAAGGAAGCAGGAAGAGAGAGTGATGCCCACCGACTACCAACAACCACCACTCTGGGATCAGAAGGAAGAATCATCACAACACCCAACGTCTTGGTTGTCAGGCTATGGGGCTAGTTTGGCCAATCAACAGCTCTATTGGGCAAAGAGGGCTAAAGGCCTTGTCAAACTACATCTCCCATGATTCAATGGCCTTGAGCCATGGCAGGTGCCCAACTCAACTCATTCTACAACGAAGATGAATCTCGAGTTTCGTGAGGCCTTCTTGGACAAACAATAATGGTGCCTCCTCAAACTACAACTCCCAGCATCCCACTGCACTGATCCAAGGCAGTTCAAGGGATATCAAACCGCATTCATTCCCCAATGGAGATGCACGCAATACCACCCCAAACTGCAGTTCCCAGGAGCAGTAGGCCTCAATGCTATTTGATCATGAGAGTTGTAGTTTAATGAGAGGTTGGATGCATCTTCATTGTAGAATGAATTATTATTATTATTACAAATAATGATAGGTTGGGTACATCTTCAATGTAGAATGAATTATTATTATTATTATTATTATTATTATTATTATTATTATTACAAATAATGAGAGGTTGGGTGCATCTCCATTGTACAGCATTGAAGAGACACACAATACCTCCCAAAAAACTACAACTCCCATACCACTGACCCAGGGCAGTTTAAAGGGGGATTAAACTGAGTTCATTCTCCAATGGAGATGCACACAATACCTCCCAAACTACAACTGTCAGGCTCAAATAGCATTGAAGACACACACACTACCTCCCAAACTACAACTCCCACAGCATTGAGCCAAGACAATTCAAGTAGAGTCGATCTGCATTGATTCTCCAATGGATATGCACACAATACCTCCCCAAACTAGAACTTCTGGGATCAAATGGCATTGAACACACACAATACCTCCCAAAACTACAACTCCCATAGCATTGAGCCAGGGTAATTTCAAAGGGGGATCAAACTGAATTCATTCTCCAATGGAGATGCACACAATACCT